TATATGGTGTGAGATGTTGGTCTATGGCCCCTTCTTGGCCGAGAAGCTATTCCTACCAGAAGAATTGTTTTGTTCAGTTATTTCAGTCATGTCCAATATAATTTGGGTTTTCTTGGCAGAGATACTGGAGTAGTTTGTCATTTCCTTCTCCTTGATTTACAGGTGAGGAAACAGAGGTAAACAGGGTTAAGTGACTTGCCCAAACAACTGATTTGGCCTCATCCATTGTTGGTCAGTGGTTAAGTCTTCCCTCAAGCCAGGGAAAATGACTCAATATTGTTTGTAAAGTGTTACCAGCACCATGGATCATGGATCACAGTCCTGTCATCTGAGCATTGCATTGCTTCCTTCCACTATACTGCCTTGTGTTACCCAGAATAAAAGGCATTTTATAAAATAAAAGTAAATATAATATAAATGCAATTTATATTATAAATTTATAATATAAAATAAAAGGAATGATATAGCATTGAAAGAGCACTGGATTTGAAGTTAGAGGACCTGGGTGGGGAGTGCATCTGATGATAGCTCTGAGAACACACTCATTCACTCTTTCTCAGTTTAATGTAGCTGTCACTGGAAGGGAAGTTTATTGAATCAATCAATAAACATTTATTAAGTTCCTGTTATGTGTCAAGCATGAGCTAGGGATACAAAAAGAGGCAAAAGATAGTCTCTGCTCTCAAGGAGCTTACTATCTAATTGGAGAACTAACATGCAAACAAATATACAAAGCAAGCTGTATACAAGATAAATAGGAAATCATTAACAGAAGGAAAGCACTAGAATTAAGAGGGGTTGAGGAAGGCTTCCAGTAGAAGATTTTAATTGGGACTTCAAGGTAATCAGGGAGGTTAGTAGTTAGATTGGATGAGAGAGAGCATTCCAGGTGTGGGAGTCAGCCTAAGGAAATGCCTGGAACCAAGAGGTGGAATGTCTTGTTCATGGAATAGCCAGGAGGCCAGTGTCACTGGATTGAAGAGTAAGTCTAGGTATAAGAAGACTGAAAAAGTAGGAGGGGGCTAGATTATGATAAACTTTGAATGCCAAACAGAGCATTTAGTATATGTTCCTGAAAATGATGGGGGACCACTCAAATTAATTTTGTGTGAGGAGTAACATGAAAGGAAAATCAGGTTAGTGGATGAATGGAGGATGAGTTTGAGCAGGGAAGAGACTTGAGGCAGGCAGACTCACCAGCAGGGTGAGGGGATGAAAGCCTGAACTAGAATTGTGTCAGTGTCACAGAAGAGAGTGGTTCCAGGAAGAACAGTTGCATGATTTTCTCCATCTTTGTTCATTTACATGTATGTAGGATCAAAGGTGGTGAATGATAGGAGTGATCCAAAGCTGAGGCTTGGCTGGGCATAATCCTCTAATTATGGCAGATATAGTTAGGAGGCTGCTTGTTTTTCCAGTGTCTGAAGCAACTTCTTGCTAATCAAAAGCAGTTGAGTAGAACACATCCTTGAGGCATTCTTCTTTACCTTCAAAGAACTTTTCAAAATCTCCTATATAACTTGAAGAATAGAAGTGCATTTTGAAGTCCTTCAAGCTTCAGGCTAGAGACTATCTTGTTCTTGGTGTATATAGTACTGTCAAAAATACAAATGTAATGCAGTGAGGTTTCCTGCAAACTGTTTGCCCTCCATGTATACTAGAAGTGAAATCTTAATTCCTTCATCTTCTTATCGATAACTCTTGAATAATCTTCATGATTCATTTACAACTCTCTTTGCTGTCCCTGAGGGCTCTTGAGTAAGGCTTAATTTATGGTGAATTTATGAGAAAAGACAGAGAAGAGTTTTGACCTATCTCAAGAGTTTTGGGGGGGTGTGGAGGCATGTGTAAGAATGTGGCAGAAAGAATGGAAAAAGGAAGCTATGTTCATATAACTTATGTAATGAAGTTTTTTTGTATTTTTTTCAAAAGGGGAAGCTGGACCATTCCAGAAGTAAGTGCTGTCTTCTGATTCAAAGAATGATGATGTAGATCTATAGAAATCTTTTTCTGACTGAGGATTTTAAATGCTTTTTATTTAAATTATTTATAATTAAAAACTTGACAAGTATCAACAAACACCAACATTTCAGTATTCAAAGAATATAATAGGGAATTGTATAGGAAGCTGCAAATTTCTATTACATATAACTTGTTTTTAAAAATACACACACATATGTAACAAATTCACTACCTTAGTTCCAAAGCTATCCTTCTTGTCTATCTCCACCTGAACCTCTTCCTGTTCAATCTTTCATCAGTGTTCTTTTCTGCATTTTTACTTTTAGGGAATCACTGACACTAGTCCTTTTCTCCTCTAATATCTCCCCTCGAAACCTCCTTCCCACTCACCTAACAAATAATTATAGTCTAGGAAAGCAAGTCCACACATTGGCCATGTCTGAAAATGCGTGTCTTGACTAATGATATTTCTCTTGAAGGTAAGTAGTAACGGTTGGGCTGATGGAAAGGTGCAGTGATCATTAGGGTACAGTAGCCAGATAGATAAGAATGCATCTTTCTTTTTAGTGACATTTTCATTGATAAAAATGTAATTCTTATGTTAAACCATTTGACAGTGCCAAGGATGTCAATGGCCTTTTCTGGTTTTCCAAGAGTTGTAGCTGTTGAGGAAGCCTGGGTTAGATTGGGTCTCCACAGGGGTTGCTCCTATGCATGACGCCTTTGGGGCCCAGGCTAGATGAAGGCATAGTGTCCTGAGGGGAAGTGCTATTTCTGGGGCTCCTGAACCCAAAGTCCTACACTTTCTCCCAGGTTGTCCACTTACTACCATGACTTTGGGCAAGTCACTTTCCCTCTCTGGGCCTTAGTTTCTTCATTTGTAAAATGAGGTGGGGTTGAACTTCTAAGTTCCCTTTATGTGAATCACTCAGATGATCTCTTTTGAGTGACCAAAGACTTCATTAACGGAGCCCTATGTGTTGCAGGACTTGATGCAATTAGTACAATGCCATTCACAAATAGGGGCATCAGGAGAAACTTATCTAAATGGAATTCTTGCATTTGATCTTTGCTTGGAACAACCTTTCTGATACTGGTAAACTATTTTGGTGAACATATCTCTTTGTTTTATGCTTCACTTGATATTCATACTCAAGGGATCATTGAAGAAAGTATCTGTGGTTGCATCTATCAACAAATATTATATGATCTTAATATATGGTTATTGGAGCCTTTAAGCCTCTGTTTTGTTCCACTGAGAAGTATGATCATAGGAAGAGACCTTATAAGTTATTGAGTTCAACCCCTTAGTTTTACAGAAGAAGATATTAAGGCACAGAGAGGTTAATTGACTTGTCTAGGTTCATATAGCTGTAATAAGTGCCTGAGACAGTATTTGAACTCCAAGTCCAGAGCATTATCCACTCTGCCATACTGCCATCTTTTAAAAAAGTGAAACACTTGTAGTCAACAAACAATAAAGACAGTAAGATCTCATATTCCCTACATACTGTCTTTTTGGTGTTTATGGAGATAAAATAATCATAGCCAAAAGTTGTGTGGCACTTTAAGGATTGCAAAGCACTTCATATATATTATCCCATCTTATCTTCACAAAAGCCCTAAAAAGTAGATGCTCTTATTATCTCCACTTAACAGATGAGGAAACTGAGGTTAAGTGACTTGCCCAGGATTATGCAATTAGTATCTTCCTGATTCCAACCCCTACACCACCTAGCTGTCTCAGGTGGTCTTCTCTACAAAATTGCCTGTGAAAGCTTACTTGATATATTTTCATAAGGTATGCTCTTAATAATATGCATAGACCATTCTCATAAAGATAGTCCGATATTTGTGGTCGTTCCCAGTCTAGTTCCAACTACTTTTAGCTTTTTCTCCTATCACTGCACCAACCACCTCTCCTCAATGTCCCTAAGACATATCAGGCTAACTTCTACCCTAGTGATGTGAATGGAGGATGCAGGAAGTGTACAGTGACCTATATGGAAAGTGTGATGATCAGAGAGTGATTGATTTAGTGACATACGCAAACCTGAGACTTTTGTAAAGTATACAATATTGGACATTCAGAATGCTGTGTCCTGTACAGTAATGTGTAAAGATTCATAGAAAGACTGAGAAGTAGATCTGAGAACCTCCTTAGGCCTCAGAAACAATCTTGGAAGGGACCCTGAAATTGGAGACAAGCCTCAAATAATTTCTCCTTCATCCGATTTGTACTTCTAGAGTAAGGAAACTCCAAATCCTTCTTTCCTCTATGTCTATAGACTTAACACTTGCATATATGTGACTTTACGTAACTAGCGTCTCTATGAAAGAAAACGTGTCTGTATGCCTGTGTTTTGTGGGTGAACAAACTCCAAGATTCAGTCTCTTTGAGTCTGCATCCTCATCCAAGGCTACATGGCCTGAGGCTGGAGTGCCCCGGACCACTGAGCGGATGCCTTATTGGGATGGAAGATGATGAGAGAATCCTCAGTCCCATCCAAATAGTTCCCGGGAGCATCTCTGCCAGCGTCGCCTTAGAAACCAGCTTGGACCGAGGGGCGGGACTGGATGAAGGTGTGGGGGAGGGGTACCAGGTTGCCTGGATTTGGGGCTCAATTGATTTTGGGGATTTCTCCCACGTCCAGTCCCTGGAACCGTTTCTCTGTTCACCCCAGTCATCCCCCACCCCCAATCTTAAGAGTAGGCGTGGCTATCTTCTCAGAAGAGAACGCAGTTTGCCGGGGGTGGGAGGGTGGGAGGGGGAGGGGGCTCCACCTTGGAGGGGACGGAAAGGGAGGGAGGTGCTAAGGGAGGGGAAAGGGGCGGAGGAAGGAACCGCATTCCAAGCTCAAGCAAGGGCTGGGACCACTGCCGCCCCCGCCCTCCAGCCACAGTCTCCGCCGCTGCAAAACCTACTCTAGAACTGGGGACTGGGGACGGGTGCCCAGGCCTGGACCACTGCACTGTGTACTGCCTAGAAGGAACCGTGAGCCTCTGAAGAGACGATTCAGCACCTGGACAGTGGTGGTGCCTGGTAGGGAGGTGGGCCGCAGCCGGAACCAGGAAGATTGGGGAGAGGGTGCTCCTGGGTCTGGGAAGGGTTTGGGGTGATTTGGACTATCCCCGGGGCCAGTGAACTGGACATCCGTGAGTTTAAACACTCGCAGTTCGAGCTGGGCCCTAAGAGGAGAGGACCCTTACTACATCTGTCCCCTTCTCCGTGCCTCTGAGTGCTTAGCTGCTCCCCTCCCCCCACTCCTATCCAGAGGCCCTGCATATCCTTTCTGTGGAGGGGGAGGTGTGGATATATGAGGGAGAGATGAGGAAGATGGAGGGACTTGGGGGTCAGAGATAGGAGAATTGGCAGTAGTTGGTAGTGGTGGGGGTCTGGGAATAGGGGAGAGGATAATTAGAATAGGGTGGATCAGGGATGAGGAGGATGGACTGATTGAGGATAAAGATTGAGGGAACTGGGGGTGCCTGAGTTTTGAGGTATGGAAGTCTTTGGGATAGTGTTGGGGGATTGAGACCCTAAAAAGGCCTGCTCCAGCAATATTTGGGTGGTTATCACTAGAGCTGAAACACAGCCTTCAATCTGATTATACTTGGGCAGGAGTTTGGGGTGGGGGTGGGGCAGGGTTAATCAGACCTCCTCTCTTCCTTTGTAGACTTTTGGGGAGCAGTTCTCAAAGAAAATGTCTGTCTGGCACTGGGGTATAGAGAGGCCAGCAGCCTTTGGAGGAGGAAGAGGGAAGGATAAAATAGGGTGAAGAAGATAAAAAAAGCTCCAATAATCCATAGATTAGAGCAGGGTCAAATAATTGGGTACATCACCAATGTTGTTTTTGAAGAGCATCCATGAGTTCATTCAACAGACGTTTGTTAGGCACCTAATGTGTGCTAGACGCTGTGTGAAGCACTGGTAATTTGAAGACACAATTGAGACTCTTCGCTCAAGGAGTTTATATTCTATTGGAGTAAGAAAAATATACTTAGAAAATTAAATATAAACATGACCCAGGGAGTGTGTGTGTGTGTGGGTGGGAGGGGGTGAGCATCAGACCTGGTCTGTGGATGGAGCCCCAGGGCAGGAAGACTACATAGGATCTGAGTCTAGAAAGCAAGGGCACAAGATAATGGAGAGTATGCAGAGTATGGGTATCTGGGGCAGAACTTGACTGTGGGAAGGGGACTAGGTGAAAAAGTCTATATCTGGGAAAGGAGGGCAGAAAATGGTTTGGGTAGTATTGTCCAGGGTTTAGGGGGCAAGATTACTATACCTCCTCTCTCTTTTGGAGAACATGGCCTCCCAAGTCTGGCTCTAGGGGCATTAGGAGGAGACCTAGGAGCCTTAGATGAAGAACATCTCAGAGCCAGTTAAAGAATAAAATTGGGTCCAGAAGGAAAAGGGGTCTCCAGGCATCTCTGACATCAAGGCAATAATTCAGTTAGACATAAAAGTATGATGAATTTAATAGAGATAGTGAAATGGAGAAACCAGTTTCTAATCCTAGGAAGGGCAAAAGAGAGACAGAAACAGGAATAGAGGTAGATGAGAATGGGTGGGAAGGGAGGGACAGAAAAGAGAAATAGAGAAAGGGACACAGAGACAAAAAGATAGAGTCAGAGAGAGACAATAAAAGGACCAGAGAGGAAGAGGCAAAGGAAAAGGAATGAGAGCCAGAGAAATTCAGAGAAGGAGACACTGATTCAAAAAGAGGTACAGACAAAGGCAGGCAGAGAAAACAGCATGAGTGGAAGACCTAGCTCCCATAAGTTAGAGACAGGTGAGATAAGGGACCTAGAGGTGGAGACATGAATAAAATAATTTTACATGTTTTCTTCCACCCTGGGATACCTAGTGTTTTCCCAGTCTCTTTCTGATAGTGAGGTTTTCATGAGTTTCAGAAACTTTGTTTCTGAATATATTTTGGTGATATGACAATAGCCTGAGATCAGTGTTTGAGTTATGAGTAAGGAGAATATGTACTGCAGATAGCAGAACCTGCAAGTTTGGGGTCAAAGAGAACTGAACAGTGGAGGATGATATTAAGTATTATAGCTCTCTCTGGCTCAGTTTCTACAGGCCTATCAATGAAAGACTGAGTCCTAGATAAGCGAGAAAGAGGCAAGGATTGTATATAGGTGTGTATGCACATGAGGTCATGGCCACAGCTATGTGTATACACAGCTTTGAATATTTTAAGAACTTAATAAATGGTTGCTGAATGCATGTGTGATAGAGTGTAATAGATACTAGGAGAGGGGAAGGAGCCAGGCTCTTTTCCTATCTGTACCTTAAATCATAGAATCATAGAACCACAAAATCTTAGAGTTGGAAGAGGACTTGGGTCATCTAGTTTAAACTTTACTCAAGCACAAGTCTTTTCTATAGGATTTTAGGTAAGTTATCATTTAGTCTACTTTTTAGTACTGCAAATGACAGAGTGCTAAACACTTAAAGAAGGATTCCGCTTCTGGACAGCTGACTGTTAGGAAATTTTTCTTTATATGGAATCAAAATTTGTCTCTGTTATTCTCACTGATTTGTCTTATTTTTGCCTTCAGGGACTGATTATAACAAGTTTAATCATTTTTCTATTTGACATCCCTTCCAGATAGCTGAAGACAACTATCATAGCCTCTATAAGTATTCTCTTCTCTAGGCTAATCATCTCAAATCCCTTCAAGTGATCCTCATGTAGCGTGGTTTTCAGCTTTCAGTTCCTTCACCATCTGGTCATCATCCTGGGGGTCCCATGTCTTGGGCCCTCTCTTTTCTCTACAATCTCTTTCTTGCTTACCTCATCATCATCCATAGGTTTAAATATCATTTCTATTCAGATGAATCCAAGATCTATATATCCAGACCTAGTATCTCTACTGAGTTCCAGTTCTTCATTATCAACCACCTATTGTATATTTCAGACTCAGAATTCTGTGGGCCTCTCCAAGTCAACATGTCTAAAACAGAACTCATCTTTCTCCCCTACCCACCTCTTCTATGAACTTCTCTTTTTCTATTGTGTGTACTACTACCACGGTCACAATCTTGGAGTAATCCTCAGCTCCTCACTCTCATCCTTACCTTTTCTACCTCTATAATACCTCTCACATCCATCTCCCTTTTAAAAATCATATGGCTACTACTGTATCTCAGGTCCTCATCATATCTTTTCTGGAATATTGCTGTAGCTTATTAATTGGTTTTCTTTCCTTGTCTCTCCTCCCTCTGGTCACACAGCTGTCAAAGTGATTTCCCTAAAGGACATGTCTGACCATATTGCTCCACTACTCAATAAATTCCAATGGGTCCTTAATACCTCTAAGGCTAAATTCAAATGTTGGCATTTAAAGCTCTTCACAACCTGAACACACCCCGCCTTTTTCAGCTTTATTATATTTATTTATTTATTTATTCTGCAGGAACTCTGTAGTTTAGCTAAACTGGCCTTCTTCCCATTTCTTACACACAGCATTCTATCTCCTATTGCTATACCTTTTTATAGTTACCTTTGCCTGGAATTCACTTCCTTCTCCTCTCTCCCTGGTAGAATCCCTCCTTATCTTCAAAGCTTAGGTCATTTCATTTTCTACATAAGACTTTTCTTGTTCTTCTAAGCTACTAGTGTCTTAGTCTTTTCATCCCCAGTTGTCTTATATTTATGTGTTTATTTTGTATACCCTTATGTATGTACAAGTCTCCCATGATGAAATGTTAGCTTCTTGAATAAAGGAACTGTTTCTTTTTCTTTCTTCTTTCTTTCTTTCTTTCTTTCTTTCTTTCTTTCTTTCTTTCTTTCTTTCTTTCTTTCTTTCTTTCTTTCTTTCTTTCCTTTTTTTTTTTGTCTTTCTATTCCCAGCACTAAGCTTAGTGCCTAGCTTGCTTAATAAATAAGTGCTGATTGATTGGTTGGTTTCATTGAAGCATGTCAATGTCCTTTCTAAGTTGTGGCACCCAAAATAGAATGCAGGACTCCAGGGTGATCTGGCCCCTTGGCCAGAGAATGGTAGGCCAATTGCTTTCCTCCTTCTGGACACTGTGTTTTTGTTAATATAGGTTAAGATATCTTCAGACTTTTCATTGTGGTGTCAAATTTGACTTCTATGTTACCAAATGGAGCTAACAGTCCACTGAAACTCCTAGATCTTTTTCACATAACCTGTTGTCTAGATATCTCTCACCTCTTCTGTACTTGATTTTTTAAGTGTAAATGTAAGATTTTTACATTTATTTTTATTAGTTTTGTCATATCACCCCCACCTTTTGAGATTCTTTGGCATTCCAGTTCTATCATACAGTGGATCTTTCTCAGCTTTTTTGTGTCATCTGTAAATTTGACAATAATGTTCTCTATCCTTGGTCTAAGCTATTGATAAAAACTTTATATAGTAAAGGGTATATAGAAATCATATGATATTCTTTGTTACATACTGCCATAAAGACAATTTTTTTCAGGGGTCTCTTGATTATTAACATCAATTGAGGCATTGTCTAAATGGAAAAGGGATGGTGAGGTGCTTTAGAAGCTCTGTATTGCAAATGATATCAATTTATGGTGACTGCCTAATGCTTTACAGAGCCTCCTGAATGAGGAACATGCTTATTTAAAACAGATTGGTTAAGTGATCTTTATAGGACAAAACAAATAGATGAAAATACCTATTATATAGATAGATAGTTAGAAGATTTGTTTGTTGAGTTAGTATATCAATATGCCAATAGACAATGAGCTGGACCTAGAAATGAATAAGAGGAAAAGAGCTGGCTAGATTGCATTTGGAAAATGATGTAGTGTTTTTTAACAATTCAAAACTGTTTCCTGACAGAAAAACCCTTCTTTTTACATCAGTGTTCTTGTGTTGATGGTTGATGGTTGAGGTCTCTGAAGGATCACAGTTGTGGGTGATATATGATGGGTACAAATAAACTTCAGCATATTTCCAATTATGAGCCATGTTCAAGAAATGAGATGTAAAGTCCTCTAGTAGAATGTAAACTCTTTGAGGTCAGGAACCATATTTTATTTTGTCTTTGCATT